CAAACTGATTTGTAATACTTTCCAAGGGTGTTTCAGGCTATGTCTAAGTTAGGATTGTCTGTGTTTTAAGTTAGTCAAGCAATTGGGAAATAAAATGCAAACATGATAAAATGCAATACATGATGTAGATCCAAAGATAAACCTAGTGACTCAGACTATGCTCCAACAGAAAAGGACATGCATTATTTGCACAACTTGTGCAATAATTCAACATCATCAAGTACAACATTGTCTATGCCTCTTTTAGCAATATTGATGACTAATCCTAATGTATGGAATTAGAGGGGCGATGGCAATCAAAATTGTGATTGTATTGTGCCATCTACTGTCTCTGCTATGCAACTGCAGTTCAATAATAATGTTAATATCCCCAACTGTCTATTTGGAGAAAGACTAATATGATCAAAACAGAACTAATTTTGAATACCCTTAATAATTTGTTACCAAACCAAACCAAAGAGAAAAACACAAACAACAAAGTGTATTTTCAGGAAAATGTACAATGGTACTAGAACAAGAAGATATTTTAAAGATACAACATCTGAAAAATACTAAGTGGTTTCACAAATCATCAGGGAATTATGTGGAATGTCATAGGGAATACAACCAAATTAAGTGTTATTAGGTATCTTGGCCTTGTCAGATGTTTATATCAGAGTACACAGTGGTTGATATGGTTACTGTGATCTGTTTTTCAGCATCCTCAGATTCAAAAAGAATCACAATACATCAAGTATCTGTGTTGTGATGATGAGTGGACCATGACTCTGTGGGTGACTGGAATACGTATTGCAAAGGTGAGCGGAAACCAAGCCACAGCGCATGCATTTGTAAATATTTATAAAGTAGATAATGATAAATCCAAAGAAGACATGAAGCATTGGCATTAGAAATTCTAGTTTACAATACAAATATGTACACTGTAAACTTTAGCTATGTTGTGTTCGGTTCTATTGTTGAACTTTGTCTTGGGTATTAAATTAATAGTTCACCCAAAAATGAAACCATTTACTCACCCTCAAGTTGTTCCAAAAGGAGATATTTTGAAGAATGCTGGTAACTGAACATTTGCTGGTACCCATTGGCAACCCAATGGCTACAAGCATCTATTTGGTTATCTTATTTTGTGTTCAACAGAAGAAAGAAACTCAAACAGATTTGGAACAACTTGACAGTCAGTAAATGATGACAGAACTTTCATTTTGGGTTGAACTATCCCTTTAAGTTCTTCTAGTATTAACGGTCTTGTTTTGTCATGATTTCTTTCATAGTATGGTAAGCAGTTATATGACAACTACAAGGCTGCTGTGAGGAAAGCTGCAGGCTCTGCAACATGGGCTAACCGCACTATCCAGGCCTCCTCCAGTGCATCGACACCCTCCCCTACACCTAAAGGTAGAGATAATGGAGCTCAACAGACCATCATAAAATGTATCATTGATCTTGCTATATTAACATGTTAAATGATTTTGAGGACATTTAGAAAGGCTTGTATATATCTTTCAGCCAAAGCTGCAAATGGACATGCTCCTCAGCCTGCAGTGGAGACCAAGGTACCTCTCAATCTATCAGCTGTTTTAGTAATGGAGAACATGGTTAAAAAAAATGCGCTTATCACTAATATTATCGGTAACACTTTAGTATAGGGACCAGTTCTCACTATTAGCTATTTGCTTATTAACATGCCTATTATTAAAGGGTTAGTTCACCCAAAAATGAATATTCTGTCATTAAAGGATTAGTTCACTTTCAAATTAAAATTTCCTGATAATTTACTCACCCCCATGTCATCCAAGATGTTTACGTCTTTCTTTCTTCAGTCGAAAAGAAATTAAGGTTTTTGATGAAAACATTCCAGGATTATTCTCCTTATAATGGACTTCAATGAAGAAGTCAGTTGAAGGTCAAAATTACAGTTTCAGTGCGGCTCTACACAATACCAGACGAGGAATAAGGGTCTTATCTAGCGAAACGATCGGTCATTTTCAAAAAAAAAAAAAAAGTGTATGCTTTATAATCAAAAATGCGCGCCTTGCACTGCTCTGCGATGCACGTCCATGACTTCACGTAATACGTAATTACATTGAAAAGGTCACGCTTGACGTAGGCGGAAGTAAGGTTTCAAAAGATTTAAACATCCAGGATACGCACATGAAGTGACCATTTTAAACGATAAACTGACACAAAGACATTTGAATATGTGTCATTGAACATACAACAACTTTTGAACGGTCCTCCTTTACATTTGTAAACACTGAGTCGGTACTTCCGCCTACGTCAAGCTTGACCTTTTCAACGTACTTACGTATTACGTGAAGTCATGTACGTGCATCGCAGAGCAGTGCAAGGCGCATTTTTGTTTATAAAGCATTTTTTTTTTTTTTAGAAAATGACCAATCGTTTCGCTAGATAAGAGCCTTATTCCTCGTCTGAAGCTGCACTGAAACTGTAATTGTGACCTTCAACCGTTTGGTAGCCGTTGAAGTCCACTATAAGGAGAATAATCCTGGAATGTTTTCATCAAAAACCTTAATTTCTTTTCGACTGAAGAAAGAAAGACGTAAACATCTTGGATGACATGGGGGTGAGTAAATTATCAGGAAATTTTAATTTGAAAGTGAACTAATCCTTTAATTACTCCCTCCCATGTCCTTCCAAACCCATAAGACCTTTGTTCATCTTTGTTCAACACAAATTAAGATATTTTTGATTAAATCCGAGTACTCTCAGACCCTCCATAGACAGCAACACAACTGATATGTTCCCAGGTCCAGAAACGTAGCAAGGACATCAGTAAAATAGTCCATGTGACATCAGAGGTCCATCCGTAATTTTACGAAGCTACGAGAATATTTTTTGTGCGCAAAGAAAACAAAAATAATGACTTATTGTGGAAAGAGTATCATGAAGTATGCTTGCTTCCGCTTCATGTAAATGACACATGTGCATGGCGCTGCTGCTTAGCTGTCTGATTAATAAAAATAAAAAAAATCTTAATTTGTGTTCCGAAGATGTGAATGTGAATGTCTTACGGGTTTGGAACAACATGAGGATGAGTAATTAATGACATAATATTCATTTTTGGGTGAACTAATCCTTTAACATTTTGGCTGTTTAGTAGTACTTATAAAGCACATATTTTGCATGACCATATTCTACATCCCTAATCCTACCCAATACCTAAACTTAACAACTACCTTACTAACTATTAATAAGCAGCAAATTAGTAGTTTATTAAACAAAAGTCGTAGTTAATGGTTTGTTAATAGCGAGAACTGGACCTTCAAATAAAGTGTGACCAATATTATCTTATTAATGGTGTTTTGAAGTCATGAAAATTAAAGTACTTTTTAAGTACTGAACTTTTATTTCATTAATATTATATTTTCTGCAAGTAAAGATAAAATATAATTTTTAAGACTTGAAGTACACTGCAAGTGCACATTCAGTACAATTAGGCACACTTCTTTTTCACAAGGCTATATATGGTTCCTTGAGAGCTGTTTTAATCTTCTTGTAATGTCATGATTTATTTAGAGTTCTCCTGAATGTTATTTTTGGTTTGTTTTTGAAGGGTTCTGGCAACCAAACATCTTTTCCACCACCTCCGCCTTCAATGGAAATCCTGCCTCCTCCACCACCTGACCACATGTTCTAATCCTACCCAATACCTAAACTTAACAACTACCTTACTAACTATTAATAAGCAGCAAATTAGTAGTTTATTAAACAAAAGTCGTAGTTAATGGTTTGTTAATAGCGAGAACTGGACCTTCAAATAAAGTGTGACCAATATTATCTTATTAATGGTGTTTTGAAGTCATGAAAATTAAAGTACTTTTTAAGTACTGAACTTTTATTTCATTAATATTATATTTTCTGCAAGTAAAGATAAAATATAATTTTTAAGACTTGAAGTACACTGCAAGTGCACATTCAGTACAATTAGGCACACTTCTTTTTCACAAGGCTATATATGGTTCCTTGAGAGCTGTTTTAATCTTCTTGTAATGTCATGATTTATTTAGAGTTCTCCTGAATGTTATTTTTGGTTTGTTTTTGAAGGGTTCTGGCAACCAAACATCTTTTCCACCACCTCCGCCTTCAATGGAAATCCTGCCTCCTCCACCACCTGACCACATGTTGCCTCCTCCTCCTCCCAACACAGCCAAAGTTAACAAGTTTCCTCCTCCACCTCAATTCCCACAATCCTCCTTCCCACCTCCCCCCATGGATGACCTGCCTCCTCCACCACCTCCTCCAGAAGATGCCGAGCTGCCCCCTGACTTCCTGCCTCCACCACCACCTAGTTTGACATCTAACGGGGGAGAAGCGCTCCCACCACCACCTCCAGACCCCTTTGCGTCTCTTCCACCACCTCCTTCTGCTCCCCAAAACTTTGCATCTGCAGGTGGAGCACCGCCACCACCTCCACCTCCACCTCCACCTCCAACCCCAGCTCCTGCACCGGCTGCCCACAAACCCCACGACTCCGTCAGAAAAGTGGCTCCACCTCCACTAAAGAGGACTACACCTCAACTAACAGCGCCATCAGGTGGCGACTTCATGTCAGAACTGATGACAGCAATGCAGAAAAAGCGCAGTCACCAATGAACTTGAAGACAGACAGAGCTAATTGACATGTTTTTATAGTTGGACTGAGGAACTGACCCCCGACCGGTTTTTGGTGTGGCATTAGGACAAATTGGATGCTTTAATTTTTTTGTTGTTTGAAATGTTTTTATTACACCACAAAACTAAAAATGTGTAAATACTTTGTTCTTATGCAGCTACTTAGATTATATACTGTATGTATTACAAATATGCTATATCATCATTGCTAATGAAATGTCAGTAAATATGGTCTTGCAAAGTTAACTGTTAAACAGATTCTGGCAGGCCTTACTGAGTTCTTATTTAGATGCATGATGCAAAGTTTCACATGCTTGTGTAGAACTGCAGAATGTTTTGATGCAAATGAATGTTCAAGTTATGCTTACATTGAGAAAATAGATTAGGAAGAACAGCTGACCCTCAGCTGCTGAGTCCAGGATGGAGGTTTACTGGAGTATCCGGCTCTCTCAGCCTCCTCCTGCTCCACAAACGGCTCTGTTAGAGTCTTCTGCAACAGCGCCACCTAGAAATACATCATAAGAAATTCTATCACATATAAAAAATAATAGTCTGCCTGAAAATAGTAGATTTTATGTATAATTGTCTGGCCTACAGTACATTTCAAAGTAACATATTAAAGCAAAAGTTCATCACATGTAGTCATACCTCTGAAAAGTCATTTTTCTCTGCTTTTCTGATAGCAGATTCAGCCATCCAGTTCCTCAATACATACCGAGGGTTGACTCCTGAACAATAAAAACAAAGCAGTCAACACACATAACAACATATACAACATAACACATAACAACATTACCATTCAAAAGTTTAGCGTCAATAATTGCAATGATGCTGACAGTAATGGTGCTGAAAATTCACCTTTGCCATCACAGGAATCAATAAAATTTTTAAATATCAAAATAGAAAACCCTATAATATTATTTCACTATATTACTCTTTTCACTTTTGGTCAAACAAATGCAGCCTTGGTGAGCATATAAGACTTCTATCAATAGCATTCTAAAAAAAAATAAAAAATTACGGACTCCAAACTTTTGAATGGTAGTTTGCCATAGCATACTGTAATGTAACAATATATACAACATAGACCAAAAAATACCTTGCATTCTGTGCTGACGTGCTGCATCTGAGTCACTTTTCATCCTTTAAGAGAGAGAGATTAACACATCGAGAGATGTTCATTTCAATGCTCTAATGCAGTGTTTCCCAACCTTTTTTTAGTCGCGGCACCCTTTGGAAATTTTAACAAACTTGTGGCACCCTACAAAATTAATTTTGTCACAATATTTGAATTTCTAACTGCGAGTGTAGATTGCAGCAATGTTACCTTGACAGACGCTTTAAATACAGCTGAACCCAGTCTCTGAAATACTCATGTGATAAGAGGTCTGACAGAGCCCACATTGACTGTTAAGAGAGACACGGTTAATGGACTGAAATCATTATTATATAAATCATGGATGTTGCAGCTGCTGTGGGTGTGAATGGAGTGGAAATGTACCGGAGGAAAGGATCCCGTCTGAAGCTGGGACAGAGTGACTTCACTCAGCTGTCTGAAAGTCATGGTGAAGTCTGCTCCAGTGTCCTCCATCAGCTTAAATCAACACATCACACACCATACATTATACATTTAATTCTACAATGTTATACGTGTAATTCTACTCTTTGTGTTTACTGCAGTTATTACAACAGGACACTGAACTTTATTTGATAGATTTGGTCATTTAATACCGTATGGAATTTAAAAAAATCTAACAGTAAAAGTTTTTAGTAAAAAATGAAAAAATGTTTATAAATAAATGAATATATATTTCTCTCTCTCACACACACACACAGCTAATATTTACCTTTAGAAGAAATGCAATCACATATGAATCCTCTTCTTGATTTCCCAGAAAGCCTAACTTTGCTTTGAACAGTTCATGGAATCTGTAACAAAATTAGAAGAATTCGATTAGAAATAAATCGGAGATTAATACAGTGTTCCTAAACTGAGATATGTTCATTGTTCAGCTGCATGCTTAAATGAATAGTTCACCCCAAAAAAAAAAAAAATTGCCATACGTTTACTCACTCTCAGGTCATCCAAGATGCAGGTGACTTACTTTCTTCAGCAGGACACTGAAGATGATTTTTAGCTGATTCATAATATGCAAGTCAATGGGTACCGTCACATTGAGAGTCTAAAAAGCTGTTACAGGAAAAACTAAATTAATACTTGTAGCTTCTGATGATATATTAAGGCCTTATGAAGCAAAACAATTGATCTGTGCAAGAAACTGAAGATTATTTACAACATTATATACCTGTACTCCATAGCCTCAGGCAAACAGCATTGGAGCTCAAGGTTTCTGTTGCATGATTATGCATGCGTGGTAGCAAATTCATGTGTGAAGTGATGCCATTGTTGTTCACAACAGAGAGGGAGGACACGTGTGCATACCTCAATATATCACCAGACGCCACAGGCATTACTTTTGTGTTTCCTGTAACTGCTTTTTGTGACGGCACCCATTACCTTGCAGATTATGAATAAACAAGGACCATGGGTTCAGCTAAAAATCATCTTTACTGTTCTACTGAAGAAAGTCACCTATATCTTGGATGGCCTGAGCATGAGTAAATTAAAAGAAAATGTAAATTTTTTGGTGAACAATTCCTTTAAACATTGTGTAATGCCGAGTTCACACTGCACGATTTCAGCCCGATTTTTCACTCGCCGACAGGTTTTGCGAAATCGCCGACAAATGCCCGAAATCGGAGGCAAATCGGTGCTCGTTCACGCGAGAGACAATCACGCAGTGTGAATTATCAAAGACGCGATCTGAGGGAATCGCCGATGCGTCGCCGACGGCCGTGAAATATTTGGCATGCTAAATATCTGGAGCAGTCTGCGATTCACAATCACGCTGTGTGAAATGAGCTCTGACCGAAAACTACATCGGCGATGACCTACAGCCAATGAGAGACCAAGATACAGGGCAGCGGGAAGTTCGGGGAGGAGTTATAGACCAGAATATCAGTATTTTAATAGATATATGAACAATTATATCATACAGAAACAAGCACAAACATTTGCTTGACCAGCCACAACATCAGCATAACAGTTACTGCAAAATTATTTACCTCCAACTCTCTCTGCAGAACACCCAATCCCTGTTCCCTGCATCTCCCTCCTGCATAATCTGTTTTTCTTTTTCTCCTTGTAGCCGGAAATCAGCTCACAGACAATTTGCCGGCTATATACAGTATATATTTTTTTTAATAATTACAGTCTTGCTCG